AATAATGAAAAAGTTCTTATGAATTACAAGTATCTTCCTGTGTAGGAATGTAAACAGTTTAACCTAATTAAGTCACATATGATTTCTCTTTCCTCTTTATCTACTTATGCTTCTCTTGAGTCTTATATTTGTCTATTCAGCTCTGCTCTTTTCACCAAGAATGCTTGAAAGTTTCATTGAAGACTCATCTCATTGAATGTCCATTTTTCCTTCTGAAGGATTATACTCAGTTTTGCTAGGTAGGTGATGCTTGGTTGTAATTCTAGCTCCTTTGCCCTTCAGAATATCATAGTCAAAGCCCTCTGATTCTTTAATGTAGAAGTTGCTAAATCTTGTGTTATCCTGACTGTGGCTCCACTGTACTTGAATTCTTTCTTTCTGGTTGCTTGCAATATTTTCTCCTTGACTTGGGAGCTCTGAAATTTAACTATAATATTTCTTACAGTTTTCATTTTGGGATCTCTTTTAGGAGGTGATCAGTGGATTTCTATTTTACCCTCTTGTTCTGGAATATCAGGGCAGTTTTCCTTGAAAATTTCTTGAAAGATGATGTCTAGGCTCTTTATTTTTCATCATGGCTTTCAGGTAGTCCAATAATTTTAAAATTATCTCTCCTGGATTTATTTTCCTGGTCAGTTGTTTTACAGTGAGATATTTCACATTGTCTTCTGTTTTTTTCATTCTTTTGATTTTGTTTTATTGTTTCCTGATTTCTCATAAAGTCCTTAGCTTCCATTTGCTCTGTTATAATTTTTAAGGAATTGTTTTCTTCAGTTAGCTTTTGTACTTCCTTTTCCATTTGGTCAATTCTGCTTTTTAAGGCATTCTTCTCTGCATTGGATTTTTGTACCACTTTTGCCATTTGATAGTCTGCTTTTTAAGATGTTATTTTCTTCAGTATTTTTTGAGTCTCCTTTACCAGGCTGTTGACTCATTTTTCATGATTTTCTTGCATCACTCTCATTTCTCTTCCCAATTTTTCCTCTACCTCTCTTACTTGATTTTCAAAATCCTCTGAGCTCTTTCATGGTCTGAGACCAATTCATATTTTTCTTGGAAGCTTTGGATATAGGAGTTTTGACTTCGTTATCTTCTTCTGAATGTGTGTTTTGATCTTCCATGTCACTATAATAACTTTTTATGGTCAGAATTTTTTTGTTGTTTGCTCGTTTTCCCAGCCTATTACTTGACTTTCTAACTCTTTGTTAAACTAGGGCTCTGCTTCCAAGGTGGAAGGCATTGTCCCAAGATTCAGAGGTTTGTGCAACTGTTTTCAGAGATACTTCTAGGGATCTGTAAGTTTTCAGTTCTTCCAAGGTGGCATGATCTAAAGAGAGGTATTTACTACTCTCCTTACAGTTTAAGTATCACAAAAATATGATCAGGATCACACAAGGCTTGGCAACTGCTATTTGATGAAGGAAGATCTTGGAATATAATATTCCAAAACCAAAACAGAGAAGTTTACAACCAAGAACAACTTATAAAGTTGAGAATAATCCTATGGGGTAAAGTTGATCCTTTAATGGAATAGAAGACTTTCAAGCATTTCTAATGAAAAGAGCAGACTCAAATAAGAATACTGAAATACAAACACAAACGCCCAGAGAAACCTCAAAATGTAAATTTGAGCATTTAGAAGGAACTATAAGATGATGGAGTGTTAACATTCCAATAGGAGAAGAAGAAACAAGTGCTTCTTCAAAATTTAATGTCTTCAAAAGGGTATTGATGGAGTTATATTACCTAAGAAAAATGGAGGTGGGGAGTATTGGTTGTATTCTGAGGGTTTTAAGACGGCAAAGAGAAGGTAGGGTAAAATGGATGTACTAGTGTAAAAATGGGAAGAAGAGTGTTGAACTTGCTATTTCTCATAATTGAAATGTGTGACAGAAAGAGTATACGAACATGGAGGGAGGAGGAATGGGAATGAGCATCAAATAAGCTTTACTCTTATATGAAATGGACAAAAAGTTGAACACAAAGAGTTTAGTGTAGAACAACAACAAACTTAACAGGGAAAAAAAGTGTGACTAGTGTGGCCAGAAGGCTAAAAGTGAGGTAATGCCAAGGAAGAAACAGTGCCAGCAAAACAAACTTAGTGATCATAAAAAGAGAAGGTATAAAAGGACAAAAAAAAGAAGAACTAGAATCTAAGGATGTGAAATGTCTAAAATTGCAACTTTAAAAGACTTAAGAACTCTGAATAATTCAATGACTAACCAGTGGACCTATAAAGAGTTGCAGAAACATTTTTTTATGATGACCACTGTATAGATTCATTTCACTTGACTCTGCTTTTTTCTTACAAGCCCTTTTTCTGCTTTCTTTCACTCAGTCTTTTATTTAGGAAGGAGGGAGAGTAGGGGTTAGCACTAGTGATGCAAAACAAAAAAAAAGTGGGAGAGGGGGAATCCTTGTAAAAATATTTAATGTGCAAAGGATAGAACAGAAGGAAATTCAAAATAAAGCACAAAAAAGCTGGAAAATTCTGAAAGGAGTGTGTAGAATTATACTTTTATAAAAAGCAAGGAGATATAAAATAGAGATTCATGGTTTCATATGGAATTCCTTTTTTGTAGTCTGCTGTGTGTGGAAATTCTCTTTTTTAGGGTAGGTCATCTAAATTCAGCATAAGAAATATATTTTTTAACTTTTCATCTCATAAAACCTTTTAAACCTTGTATTTTATTGCCATAGCCTTTGAAAACACAAGATCACTTCTATACAAGGATGACTCATTATAGCTGGACTTTTATAAAAGATTATATGCTTCTAGTATGGCTAATTGATACCTATTTTTTTTCTAGCTGTTTTATGAGACATTCATAGAAACTGTCTAAGCCAGAGTAGAAGTTTCCACAACGTGGCATGGGATTTTCTTTAACTGACCTTGGTCCTTATAAAACAATATCCCTTCTAGGGAAGAATTTATGACCAAACAAGAGACCATTATGAAATGCAAAAGGGATAGTTTTGAGTACATTAAATTAAAAATGTTTTGTGCAAACAAAGCCAATGCAACCAAGATTAGAAAGAAAGCAATACAGCCAGTGTCTCTGATAAAGGCCTCATTTCTAAAATATATAGAGAACTGAGTCAAATCTATAAGAATACAAGTCATTTCCCAGTTAAAAAATGGTCAAAGGATATGAACAGGCAATTTTCGGATGAAGAAATTAAAGCTGTCTATAGTCATATGAAAAATGCTCTAAATCACCATTGATTAGAGAGATGAAAATTAAAACAACTCTGAGGTGCCACATCACACCTATCAGATTGGCTAATATGATACAAAAGGAAAATGATAAATGTTGGAGAAGTGGGAAAATTGGAACACTAATGCATTGTTGGTGGAGTTGTGAAGTGATCCAGCCATTCTGGAGAACAATTTGGAACTATGCCTGAAGGACTATAAAATCGTGCATACCCTTTGATTCAGCTATACCACTATTAGGTCTGTATCCCAAAGCGATCATAAAAACGGGAAAAGGACCCACATGTACAAAAATATTTATAGCAACATTTTTTGTTGTAGCAAAGAATTGGACATTAAGGAGATGCCCATCAATTGGAGAATGGCTGAACAAGTTATGGTATATAAATGTAATGGAATACTATTGTTCTATAAGAAATAATGAGCAGGCAGATTTCAGAAAAACCTGGAAAGACTTTCATGAACTGACGCTGAGTGAAGTGAGCAGAACCAGGAAAACATTGTACACAGTAACAGCAACGTTGTGCAATGACCAACGTTGATAGACTTTTTTCAGCAACACAATCATCCAAGACAATTCCAAAAGACTCATGATGGAAAATGCTATCCACATCCAGAGAAATAATTATGGAATCTGAATGCAGATCAAAGCATACTATTTTCTCCTTTTTTGGGGTTTTTTTTCTCTTGGTTTTTCCCTTTTGTTCTGAACCTTTCACAACATGGCTAATACGGAAATATGTTTAATATGATTGTACATGTATAGCCTATATCAGATTGCATACCATCTTGGGGAAGGGGGAAGGGAGAAAAAATTTGGTAGTCAAAATCTTATAAAAGTGAATGTTGAATGTTATAAAAGTGAATGTTGAAAACTAAAACTAAATATATTTTTATAAAAAATAATATTCCTGCTAAAGAAATTTGACCAAACTATGAGTCCTCAAAGAGGAGCTGAAAAATGATTACAAGTCAAGGGAGGGGATTGGGAGAAGACTCATGTCACAATAAACAATATGAATTGAAGGTCAATGGTATATCCTTCTCTTAACTCTCTGGCTAAGAAGGTAGCACGTAACACAGGCAGTTAGGAAATAAGAGTCATTGATCTTGGAACTTCTGGTCTCAAAGCCTGATGTCTAAACATTAAGATTTAGGAAAAGGCATATTCTACTTTCTTTATCATCTTACACGCAACAATTTGTGGATTTCCCCCACAGAAACAGAGATGTAGAATAGATGTAGGTACCTCAGAGGCTCTCTGTTCCAACTCCCTCATTTTACAGATGATGAAACCAAGGTCAAAAGAGGTTAACCAGCATGGTCAAAATTGCATAGGTATTAAGAGTCAGATGTGGATTTGAATCCACTGGCTCTGCAAGTGCCCTTTTTGCTATATTACACTCTCTATTCATTGATAATTTAGCTGAAAAGATAAAAGAAACAGGAAACCCTGGAAGCACATGGTTCACCTTAAACATTCAAAGAATAGTAATTTCCTGCTCCACACAATCCCATTGGATTGGAATTTTTATTTAACACTGATCTGACCAGGCTGTTTGGAGATTGCATGCTAGAGTAGCTTTAGCTCACTGCTATAGCCCAGTTTCATAGATATTGTTCACTCTGTGCTGTATTAAGAGTTGTCCCTTTAGTCTTAGGAGAGGTTAATGGCCCTTACAGTAATATTTATTCTTCCCAAGCATAATCATCCCTCAAGGAGAGGGATTACATCTTATCATATGATTCATACTGACTGACCATTGTGGCTTCCCCATCCTAGGTAACATGGAAGAGTTCCTCTTGAATGGTAGACTGTGCACTGACCGATGCCTCGTTGCAGTTGAAATTGATTCCCAAAAAAATAAGACAAGGATCACTGCTCTTTTCAACAACCAGGCGTTCCACTCACCTGCAGTAGCCTTGGCACTGGTGGACAACATCCTCCTCATGTCACGTTCGGGTACTCGCGCTTCTATTGAAGTGTCCAATAAGCCTCAACCTCGAAGTGCTATCAAAGCTGCAAGGGAAGAATACCATAAGTATGTATCACTTTCTCTGTCCTTGTCTTATGGTTTTCAAACCATTAATACTTCTTCTATCCTAACATTTTGCACATTTAAATATCACACTGTGGAAGGTGGCTCCTGATATGAATCAATCTTCCCTGCTATTAGTCTCCTAGGGCATACTGATATGCCTCCATATCCCTCTCTTACAGGGGCAGTCGTGGACATGAAATTGCCTTCAGTTTGTTCTTTGGTATGGCTGCCTTGGCCAGTAGTTTTTGTCTCTTGACAGTCACCGAGAGAATCATTAAGGCAAAGCACCTCCAGTTTGTGAGTGGTGTACGAATTATTAATTTCTGGCTCTCTGCCTTTTTTTGGGACCTCTTCAACTTTATCATTCCTTGCCTCCTGCTGCTGGTGAGTATAGGAGGAGTGAGTGTGTGTGTGTGTGTGTGTGTGTGTGTGTATCTCAGAGTCCATTAGTCCAGGGTAGAGCTTCACCTTTAGACAATACTGCTCTGTTCTTGAATCTAGCCACAAAGGCTAAGGCTAGCTAAAGTGGCTCCTGCTGCTGGGAAACTGCCTTCTGAGCAGCCTCTCCATCCCCTCCCTCGGTAGCAGAAAGTTTACTTCCTGATAATGGTGTCTGCAGAAGTCCAGTCCTAGTCCCTTTGTTTACTGATGTGTGTTAAATCACAAAGTTGATGCCCTGGACATCATTGTGTTCATACAACTTTCCTACTCTAATGCCTCTCTTGACAAAGAGGACAAAACAAAACTGTTACAAAAGTAAGAAAGTGCTGTCTTCTTGGTGCCTTTGTCATACCACTACCTTTAAAAGTGGAACTATCATTTCCTATCTCTAGGGTTCTTAGCTAATATTCTCCTCATTCCTTAATCTATGATTCCCATCTCTATATTTGGTCTCTTTGCTTTAGGTTGTGTTCAAATACTGTGGTGTGAAAGCTTTCGTTGACGACCATCATGCAGCAGATATCTTATTAATCTTCGTGCTATATGGCTGGTCTATCATACCCCTCATGTACCTGATGAGCTTCTTATTTTCTGGTAGTGCCACTGCCTATGCCAAACTTGTTGTATTCAACTTCTTTTCAGGCACGATCAGTTTCCTGTTTGTCTACGTGGCAGAATCTAATGGTAAGAGTGACAGCACTTACTTTTCCTCTCCCTTCAGCTGTCCTCTTCCCAAATAAGTCCTTTCTCAAGGGGAAGCAATGAATGAGTGAGGAGAAACATTTTCAGATAAGGAAATTAATAAACAGGCATTGAAAATTCATGACTATCATAAATCTTGCCCAGATTAGAACAGATGATATCTAATAATCCTTCCAAATAGATTCTGGTTCCTTGAAGACTCCAGTTAGTTCATATAGATATGAAGCAGAATAGATTTTAGTTTAAGAAACAAGCTGGAATGACACATTTCCTTTTAACCCCTAATCCAATGATTTATGTGACCCACTTTGGTTCTGTAAGTAGAAGTACTTTCTTCCCTGAAAAGCTTCTCAAGACAGTACTACTGACAAATATAGTGAGTGAACTAAGGAAGTGCATAGAGATGATTCTTGGGTAGAAAATCTAAAGTAGTATAGTATAAATACAGTCAATCCTCAACTTTCACAGGAGTAACATTCCTAGAAAATGACATAAAAATGAAAAATGGGAATGTTGATACAGTGAGCCCATGAGAAATAAGGAGTTAGGTTCTCATGACCACCAAAAACTGTAATCTTTCATTAGAAATTACTGAAAATACACTTTTCTGCATACAATTCGTTATAATAAAACATTAATTCTGATAATATGCACTTTTCCTAACACAGTAACCATGAAATAACCCATGAAATGCAGTACACAAAATAAAACTGGTAATATGCAAAACATTTTTCTCACCAGTAATTCCCTACAATTCTGTAATCCTTTGTGCTAACATCTCAATTTAAAAATATATATATTTCAGACAATATTCAGTTTTCATAACATGAAATCTGCAGTACCACAAATACTGTACAGCAAATAAAATTCTCAAAACTAAAACTTTTTTTAACCTGAATCTTACCTTCTGCTGTGTCAGATGGTAGTGTCAGATGGCATTGCACTGTATACTATGCTGCTGTAAACCTCTCCACCTTGGCTGTCCTCCAAAAACTAAGGGAGAGGTTGCTGGGACATTAGTTGCTGCTATTGGAAGACACCAAGACTGGCAAGGTTTCGACATCACTTCCAACACTCTGTCCTTCACAGCTGGTGGATGGCATTGGAGATTGTGAAGGACGCATCAGCTTGAAATAATACATCAGCTCCACAAATTTGCATGTATTGCACCTCTCATTTTTTTCCTATACTTAGCATAGCTGCAGATAAAATCATGCAAATGCTTGAATTCACAAATTTAAATACATGAATGTTGAGGACTGACTGTATATGTTACTTTCAGCAGTGTAAATTATTCACATATTTTGTAGAAGATCATTATAAACCTGGTTCATTTGTTGGAGAAACACAGAAGGGTAACACTTTTATGTAGAGAATGAGAAAGGGAGCAAAATTTCTCCACAAATGGGATTTCAGTTATTTCTGATAGCAGCACACCCATGTGTGTCCACCCATGTGTGTCTTATGTAAAATTAGAGTTCTGAAAGTGTTTGGTCTAATATATTTCAAGTGGATGTGATTCAAAGGACATGATCTGTGTGTCTCAGCCACCATATCTCTATGTCTAAATGCTTCCCTCTTCCCAACCCAAATGATGCGGTACCCACAGCAACCAATTTCCCTTTTTTCAAATCAGAGGTTTTTAAACCCTCTAGCCTAAAAGATAATGAACCAAGATATGCTTCTTTCCATCTCCCCTGAATGACAAATACAAATACTATTAATATAGAAAATCCTATACAAAGTAATGAAATGTAGAAAGTAGATCTAGAAGTACTGACCACAACCATGTGAAAAATATTATTCAAAAAACAGTGGCTCAGATGCCTGCAAAAGGGCTGGGCAAAGATTTTGTACTCCACCCCTACCACTATGTGTAGCTAGGTGTTATAGTGAATAGAATGCCAGTCCTGGAGTTAGGAAGACCTGAGTGCAAATCCAGCCTCAGACATTTACTGGCTGTGTGACCGTGGACAAGTCATTAACTTCTGTCTGCCTCAGTTTCCTCAGCTATAAATGGGGATAATAATACCACCTTCCTCCCAAGGTTGTTGTAAGACTCAAATGAGAAAATATTTATAAAGTACTTAGCACAGTGCCTGGCACATAATAGGCACTTAGTAAATGCTTATTTCCTTCCTGTCTTCCTTCCTTCCTTGATAAATAAAACTCTGGAATGATTTACATGGACCTAGAACAGCAACCAAGGGCATGATGGGCATTGGAAGAAATGTACTTACCCCACTGAAACAGCATAGTGAGTCTAAGGAATTACAACAGAAGCAGAATCAAAGGAATTCAAAACAGACTTAACCTAACCCTAAAAGTGCCGCTGCTATTTGGATGTGGCTCTGAGTCTAGACCAGCCCTTGTGGCTAGGATCAGCCACTGTCATTCAGCAGAGGAAACATTGGCATAGAATATATCCAGAGCTCACAGCAAAGCATAGAAAGCACAAGTGGCAGTATTAGTTGCAGAGAGGGCTTCATTCATATCTCCATCCAGTCCTTGGAGTATGAATTGCCTGTGTGTGTTCCCTGTGTATGCCCTTTCCCACTAATGGTGTGGGAATTTGTGGGACGGTGTGTTGTTGGGTGGGGAAGGGGGATGTTCCTTATTAATTTCTTGGTCATATGTCTGATTAAATTAATAACTTTTACTTTAAAACAATATGTCCTCTTATTGATCTGGTAAGAGGAAAACATTAGTGGGAGCTATTGAACTATGGATTTGAATTGATGCAGACCTAAAATGTGCCTTGAACCTGGAATAACTTTCAGACACCCCATGTGTGAGGAGATGAAAAAGAAAAAAAATCATAGGCACAGCCCCTGCTCTTTAAGCTCTGATACTCATGCAGAAAGTACTGAAGGACATTCTAAATTAGGGGAAATGATAAGAGCAAAGGCTCAGAGAAAGGAGTTAGTAGGTCATATGCAGGACACCATTGGTTTGACTACAATGAAACATTCCTTAGGTTAGGAAGTACATGAAAGCAATCAATAGTCAAACCCTTAAAATACATGATTAAGAACATGAACTTCGGAATATGAGCAAGCAGTTCTCAGATGAAGAGATTGAAGCCGTCTATAGTCATGTGAAAGAATGCTCTAGATCACTATTGATTGGAGAGATGCAGATTGGAACAGCTCTGAGGTACCACATCATACCTATCAGATTGGCCAGGATGACAAAACAGGAAGATGATAGATGCTGGAAAAGATGTGGGAAAGTTGGAGCACTAGTGCATTGTTGGTAGAGTTGTGAAGTGGTCCAACCATTTTGGAGGGCGGTTTGGAGCTATGCCCAAAGGGCTATGGAAATACCCTTTGACCCAGCGATAGCACTTTTAGGGCTGTATCCCAGAGAGATCATACAAACAGGAGGGGGACCCACATTGTGGTGGCAGGGAGTTGGAGTTTGGGGGGATGCCCATCAATTGGGGAATGGCTGAACAGGTTGTGGTGTACGGATGTAATGGAGTGCTGTTGTGCTATAGGAAATGATGGATAGGCTGACATCAGGGGAACCTGGAAAGACTTGTATGATCTGCTGCTGAGTGGAGTGAGCAGAGCCAGGAGAATGTTGTATAGTAACAGCCACATCGTGCAATGACTAATATTGATGGACTTGGCCCTTCCCAGCAATGCAGGGATCTGGGACATCTCCAGGGGCCTCATGATGGGGGGTGCTTCCACATCCAAAAAAAGAACTGTGGAGTTTGAGTGCAGATTGAAACATACTATTTGCTATTTTTTTTTCTTCTGTTGAGTTTTGTTTCCTCTTTCTGGTGGTTCCTCCTATTGGTTCTAATTCTTGCTTGTAACATCACTAATGTGAGAATATGTTTGGTAGGAGTGTGTATGTATAGCCTGTATTGGATTGTGCACTGTCTTGGGGAGGGTAGTGGGGAGGAAGGGGCAGAAAAATTTTAAACTCAAAAGCATAGGGAAAGTGATTGTCGATAAATCAAAATAAATTAATAAAAAAATGGGATACATCAAAAAAAAGAAGGTGGACTTCACTCAAAAGGTTAGGACGACCTCTGTAAGTTTCTTTTTTAATTTTTGTTTTTTGTTTTTGTTTTTTGAAACTTGGTGATTTAATCCAAACAGTACTTGGAGGCATGCTAAAGGGAGGCATGCTAAGGGGTTTATGACAAGAGTCATAGACTCAATATATAGTCAATAGACATTTAGGGCCTAGGTTAGGCTTATTACTGTGTTAGGAGGGAATGAATCCAAGAGATGTTACAGAGGAAATAATAGATTAACATTTAGATAGTGTAGTGAAGAAGATAAAAGACTCAAAGGAAACCTATTAAAGTGGAAAGCCTGGGGTTCTAATTCATTATAATATGATCATCTGGACTGATCAACAAATTTGGGAGAAAGATTATGAACCCAATTGTAGTTATCAACTGATCAGTCTTAATGCTTAAGGAAGGATTTAGTCTGGGAGAAGTGACTGAAAGCTCAGAATTTGTACATATATTTGGGATTAATCTGTATACAAACAGAAGTAGAACTGGATTAGGGTTTAGGGTTACAGTGCTCATCCCCAGAGACTGGATGAGCACTTGTTAGATATGTCATAGAGAAGATTCTTGGTCAGGTGTAAGTTTTGGCCTATTCAGTCTCATCTACCGTGGTGCAGTGGAAGGAGTGCCAGATTTGGAGTCAAAGAAGGTGGGTTCAAATCCCCATTCTATCAGTTACTGCCTGTTTGATTTGGAGCAAGTCACTCAACTTCTCTTGGCCTCAGTTTCCTCATCTGTAAAAAAAATTAAGAGATTGAACTAGATGACCTCTGAGGTCCCTTCCAGCTCTAAATTTATGATACTATGGTTTTATAATCCTGTGGTGGGAGTGGATGGAGGATCTAGGGAGAGGGCTATGCTACCATATGATTATATGATCACAAGGAATAAAAGATGTTATTATAATTTGTTATTTATATTTTCCATTGGTGTTTATTTTTAA